CTACTGACGATGCTGACTACGATGCCGGCGAAACGTCTGGGAATGTACCACGTCCACGTTCCTACTCTGGAAATGATGATGCATACAATGGACTCTGGACTAGGTGCGTTCCTCTAAGTCTTCCTACCAATATTACCGAGAAACGAAAACAAGGTCAAACCACTTCTATATAACTTATTTTTCGTTTATTTATAAACGATTGTAATAGCAAATATAAATTTGCTTCATGGACGATCACATCAAGGAATGTGATATGGGAAAATGCTTCTTCTTCCTTGAAATTGACATCTTCTCTGTGACCCAAGGGCACTGACAATGCAGTTCGCCCTCGATGAGAACACCTTGTGGGAAAGTAAGACCATGTGAAATTCACTGAAAACGTCAGCTCTACTGATATGATTGTGGGAAAATTCAACTACCAGTCCTTCATCATCTTAAAGGAATAGGATGAATACATATTATATAACTGATTTACTGATGGTTTTGAAACCCTATTTATAAACGAAAAATTGTCCATCCAGAACTAAGCACAGATTAATCGAAGGTATAAAGTCTAAGGTGTGACCTTGTGTATGGTTGCGGTCTGCTTTCGTTGTATGGTAGTTGTTTGATCTTGTTTTCGCAACTTGATCATATTGGCAGGAAAACCTAGAAGAATCTACCTTGTCTAGAGTACATAGTATGCATGATTATTTCCAGAATCTGGCCTTGGATTTGGTACACTCTGAAATTATCATGTATACTCTGGACTCCAGACAAGGTGTGTTTAAGTAGGTTACGAAACTATCAAGATTTAAGATTTACTGATAGTTTAGAAGCACACTTTAAACAGATTAATTTTCGTTAAATGTTTCAGCCCCCAAGTTGAATAAAGTTTAAGTGCATTTTCGATAATAATTCCGAGTGTGTTCATATTTTCTATTTGTTTATGTGAATACTACTAAAGATAACAGACTCACCTGAAATATATTTTCGAATATCAGCTGATGCTATATCTTCCTCGATACTTTGTATATTTGTACCAGTTACCAACGAATCCAACATTATCGCTTTTTCCATATTACCAGGGTCATCTGGGATCTTGGAGTCAATTTTTAAGTCTGCTCCAACAGCCGCCCCAGCAGACGTGACCATGCCAAATTTGTTACTCTCTGGAGGGGTTGTCTGCTGCGACTCAGATGTGGATGGGGACGAAACTGGGCTGATAACACAGATACGATGACTCGAAACAGGACTACTAGGTGGAGTGGTAGCTGCTGCTGCAGTTGCAGCTTCTGCGGTAGCGGTTGTTGTCGTTGTGATAGCCCGGGGCGGCCTCGGAGGGGCAACTACAGCCACAGGTCGTGTAGTAGATACTATAGTAGAGATAAAGTTGTGAGATGGAGAAGTATGGTCTAGTTGTCTGGTTCGAGCTGGAACAAATTTAGGGGAGTCAGGCTCCAATAATCCGAGCGGGTGATGAATAGGAGATACAGTCTCGGAGCCAGGAAGAGTATCTACTGTCAAATTTTCACTGCCTCCAACACCGTCAAGGCGATAGCCCGAGTCGGAGGAGCATACCAGCTCAGGACTACAAGTCTTGCTAGAGCAGGCTTTACTCCTAGAGATGGCGATTGCGGACCGTTCTGCCTCAATAACGTCTCCGTCTGTGTCGACTTCAGCTACAGCATCACACTCCAGAGCGTCCATTGAGCCAGCATCTGTACTGAGGCCCAGATCATCGGTGCTGGCACCACTCAGTAAAGACACTCCGTCCTCGTCGGAACCGGAACGCCTCGTAATGGGTCTCTGGCCCGGTAGCTCAGTCGTGGCCTGGGCTTCGTCATTTTCCTCTTCGGGAATCCCACAAGTGTACGCGCGACGATCATACTATATGACAAAATATTTTTTTAAAATTGCATCTACTTAATTATACAAACGCACACGTAAGGATTAGAAATTGAGGAAAATCTACATATATCTATTATATATATATATTTTTTTTTTTTCAGGGACATTTATATAAATATGAGAAGGAAAGAGATGCAATACTAGAGGTTAGGACAAAGACTAGGGTTAAGAGTGATGCTACAAAGGTCAAACAGAAAATTAGTTGAGGGGATTGCCTCAATTTGTCACTTTGATAAATTGTAACTATGCCAACAATGGGGCCTATCACCGAAGATACCGGCAAAACGGCTGTGAATGTAGCAAGTTTCATGCTAGAAACCACGAATATTATGGCAGAAGACGCAGGACGAGGTACATTCTACAAAGTCTCCCTGGTGCTCAGGCCAAATTGCGAATACTAGGTCAATACAAAACAAAACTGCTAAAGGAGACTGCGACCAAACAGAATGCAATCCCAACTTGGTCTTCATATCTACGACTTGGAAATTATAGTAAAGAGTTATAGCAATTTAGCTTGTAGATGGACAAATGCATCGCCGTTCCTATTTGGTATTAATATGCACTAAGATTCATGTAAATGGGAGGAAACATCGTAAAAGAGTTATTCTCAAAATAAAACGATTATAAGTAAAGATTGAATTTCATTATTGATAGCACGGTCCGTAGTTAGTACTGATTAGATTTAGGAACCATTTGTAGATCGTGAATTAAATTTGAGTCGCCTAAGTTCAGTAAGCTAAGATAGAGACTAAAAGTAGAATAAAATGGTATCATTAGGCCCAAAAAATGTATTATGGCAAATTCATTTATCAGTCCTTGCGTTGCCCTAAGCGACCTAGGGCATTTTGAACGCCAATAAAATGAGCATGCATGAGGCACTGAAGTTCAATTCGAGATTCAAATATTAGGAAAGCCATTTCTGATTTGTAAAACTCTGCTCGCACATGAGACGGATTTTTATATCTGGCAAAGCAAGAGTAATAGTTAAGATATTTATGCATCTATAGTAATCATTGTGTGTGGCAATGACAGTGGAAGGTCCCTCAAAAAGTCAAAGATAAAAATCTTGGATGTATCCTTATGGGCCAAGGGAATTTTAATCTGAAAAAGTTATCCTCGGCCCAACAATCCATCATTCAAATGAATCCAAGAGTTATTACCAGAATAATAATTGCCAAAGAAGATGCAAAAATGAATAGAAAAAAAACAATCCTGAAATATTCAGACGACTTAGAGCTTGAGCTTGATTAGGTTCGATGGATATATGATTGAGGGCTAGACATAGTAGGGACAGATCATCGACAATCGAACATGAACTCGATCAAAACTCAATGACCTGAGGCTAAAAATCTAGTTAAATAACAGCTTAATAAAAAATTAGCATAAAAGTATTCAGGATATGATTAAAAACATCAGGTAAGAAATAAAATTAGGGAAAAAAGGAATGCATCTCTTGGCTATACACCCAAATTAATGTAGGGGAACATAGTTTAGAAGAGAAATCGGCTGAAAACCTATAAGTTGCAAGAGTAAATTCTTCTCGGGCTGTGTAGCATACGATGTAGCATAATGATGAGACTGAACTAAAATGCTCTAAAAACTGACATGATTAAGAGAAATTAAAATTTAGAATAGCTATTCAATAATTAATTCAGTTTTCTGATATAAAGAATAAGATGAACAATCAAACTGTTTTAGATGAGATGATTTGCAATTGTATCTCAAATTAATCGGAGCGTCAAGGAGACATTGTGGATGTAGCTTGTGACGTACCTAGTAACATGTTCTCTGCTAAAGTATAATGGTTTCCAGCACTGCAGCATTGACTTGGTACATTATCAAATGTTTCGCTGGCATCGTCAGTGAGACGCACCATCATAAGCACAGAGTTACAACCTATCAAAGTAATAAGTAAAGGCAATCCCTTTGACCAATTTTCTGTTCGACCATTGTGGCATCACTCTTCTCCCATATTTTTTGTTCTTCATTCTAGTGCAGCATATCTGCCCCTCAAACCCACTTCATATAAACCATTAACTTATTGACACAATTTTGTGCTCCTGTTTCCTCCAATGTTGCCTAAGAGTGTGTTGCTACAAGTAGGTTTAGTGAAGCGTAATCATCTCCTCCAACAATACCAAGTGCTGTTTGCAGGGCTCCTGATCTACATACTGCCCCCCCTTTGTTCCTATCCTGATTGTCATTTAGTCGCTGCTAAATATCAGAATCTTTGTTTGACTGTTTGGAATCTGGCTGCCTAAGAGCTTTCAATTCCCGTCCTTGATCACGCCATATTCGAGGATTTAGAGCAGATGGTGCCCATGCCAGTGTCTGGGACTTCCTCTCCATAGGCTTAAAACCCATGACTCAATTATCGTCCTCCTCATCCCCATCTACATTGTGTCTCATTCTTTGGGGCCCTATGTCCGGATTAAGTCGTAACCGCTGGTGTGAAAATGCACCGCTTCCCTTTTTTATATTGAATCGCGAAAAGCACAGGTGGTGGAGATGATTACGCTTCACTAAACCCACTTGTAGCGACACATTCTTAGGCGACATTGGGGGAAACGAGAGCACATAATTGTGTGAATAAGTGGATGGTCCATATGAAGTGGATTTGAGATAAAGAGATTCGGCACTAGAAGGAAGAACAAAAAATAGGGGCGAGGAGTGATGCTGCAAAGATTGAACAGAAAATTGGCCTTTACCTTTACTTTGATAGGTTGTAACGCTGTGTTTACGATGGCGCGTCTCACTGACGATGCCAGCGAAACGTTTGATAATCTACCAAATCAATGATGCATTGCTGGAAATAACGAATATTATGGGAGATGACACGTGACTATACTGCGACCAAACAGAAGGTCATAGCATCTTGGGCTCCATATCTAAGATATAATTGTATCATTTGCTTTCCAAATAAGCTGGGAAGGAAGTTAGAAAGCAAGTGTGGAAAAAGAATTTTTAAGTAGGCAATTTCTCAAGTAGGCGACATTTTTTGGGATAAGAGAGTTGGGTTATCTAAATATAATGCTTTAAAAAGCGGAGCTTGCAAATGGAGTTATATCATCAAATAAAGGAAAGAAATTAGCGAATTTGAACTTAATATTGGAAAACCATTACCAGGAAATATTAGTATGCATTTGCAATATGATACATATTCAAGAGATATATTAATAATGAAAGGATAATATTTTTTTAATGGCCTGAAAAGTCATGCGGGATGAGAAATCAGAATTTTCCGAGCAGAGGGTCAATAAATTATAAGAAATTAAATGTAAATAGGAAAATAAAGGTGAAATAGTCTTGAGAAATAGCTTGACCTCATTTTCACAACCCGGTCGTGTTTTCACAAGAATGTAGATGAACGCACCTTGTTCATAGATCTCTATCACAATATCCATTATAATTTCCAGTATCAAAGAGTAAAGACGTGGTACATTCCCAGACGTTTAGTATACACATTAGTTGGTTTCGTCAGTGAGACATGCCAGTCAAAGCAAGGCACCAATACCATAATTCGTCAAAGAAACAAGTCTCTGGTTCAGTAAGTTCACTCGATCACTGCCAACATATCCATGTGACTCAACCTGTTGTTTTCTTCACTTGGCTTCAAGCCTTTGATAGCACGTATGCTACAGTCTCACTGAACAAGCCCTGAAAGACTGGGCTTTCCAAATTCGTGGAATAGTATTTACTTTACGGACATCGTGTATGATCAAAACCGTGTATTGAGAATCAACTAACTCTGGTTTTCAATGCATCTCTTGCGCTTCTATTCATAATGCTAAAGTGCTCTTTTTCCTATACTCTGGTCTGTTTTTTAACGACTTTTTAATGTTGCATTTGTTTGAAGGTATGAAGATTTTGCGGCCTTTTGTATGGTCACAGTCTCCTTTCGTTGCATTTGTTTACTTGCTATGATTACGCTCACTGTATACGTCTCCACTTGATTTCCGATTGAGCATAGGTGCCCTCCTTCTTTTGATTCATTTTCTTTATGTTAAAAACATTTCCTTGATCAAGTCATGCTCCTTTTGCTGATCTTCCTGTTCCATTATCCCCTCCCAGTTTACTCTAGCAATGCGCAGTTTCCGCTAATACCATCCTCTTCGAGTTTAGTGTTCATAAGTTGCCTTCAGTCAAGATATCATTAATATTAGGAAGAACTTCATTACGTATGAAAGTGCGTGGATCAGAGATTCGTAGGTTGATCTCACTAGAAAACGGCGACTGAATCCTCTGGTACTGCAGTCATTTGGATTTAATACGGCATTCAGGTTGACGCAGTCTGCGATACAACCTCTCGCGCGTCAGGTGAAAACGAGCTGAGCTTTCGTCCATTATATGATGGACATCATCAGAGCTAGAAGCCATTCTTGTAAAAGTGATTCATCATTTTGGCCAGATAATCACCCCAAAGCAATACTGTGCTCTGAACAGGGCTTCTAAATATTTAAATTGCAATGGCCTAATTATTATGAAAGCCGATAAAGGTGGAGCAGTGGTAGTCATGGCTAGGTCAAATTATGTAGAATAAATGCTAGTTCATTTAATGACACTGACATGTATAGGACTTTACTGAGAGATCCAAGAGAAAGACATAAAACTAGGCTGGAGAATGCTCTCAAGGTTTGCGTTAGTAATGGTGAAATGGTGAAGTGGAAAATGAATTCACTATTCCAGAGAGATGCAAGCGCCTGATGACTTATGGGCTTCCTAAGTTTCTCAAAGAGGGTATCCCTCTTAGATTAATTGTAAATAACAAAAGAAGCGTAATACATAAAATCTCACATTTTTTATACATACTACTTCGAAATACTGAGGATTTTTGGCTAAATCCATTTAAAAATTTTTATAAGTTTGTAAAATTGATTGATAAGCAGATACTTTCAGAGGATGGACTAATAAGTTTTAATGCCATG